TACCTTCTCCCGGGGCCGCTGTGATGAGCAAGCCTCAGGCCTCACCTCACTTGACCTTACCACGAGTTCAGAGAAGAGTGAGATTCACCTCTTTCTGCAGCGTTGCCTTGCTCGTCTCAGGGGCTCTGACCGCCAACTGCCTCAGGTGCATCTGTATGGAAATTGGTGAGATAAGGTTTTCAGAGACCCATCTCTGACTATGGGCCACTTCCCCACCCTCACAGGTCCTGCATATGTCTGAACTCCTGCACCGTGGCCTGGGTGTACACCACAGTGGCATCTTGCCCATTCTCAAGGAGATTGTGGAGATGCTCTTCAGCCGTGGCCTGGTCAAGGTACACATGATGGGGGAAGAGGAACTTCCACGGTACTAGGCATCACCTTGCGGGCAGTCCCCAGGACAGAAGTATAGAAGTTTAGGCAAGACAGTGCAGAACCTGGGCTCTGGGTCCAGACCACCTGGGTTTGAATCTCAGCCTCACCATATCCTCCCTGTGTAACCTTGGACAAATTTCTTAACCTCCAAACCTCTAAACAGGGCCTTTGAAAGTCTTAGGTTTCCCATCTTAAAATGGGGATGCACAGGATACTCAAACAAACGATCATCAGAAGAGAAACCCAAAAAACTAGGGACCATATGAAAAGTCACTAGAGCTGGGGATGTGGCTCAGTAGTAGAGCAGTTGCCTAGCATCCATGCCACCCTGGGTTGCATCCCCAGTGCTGAAAAAAAGGAAAAGGAAAGGAAAAAAGTTACTAGTAATCAGAGAAACATAAATTGAAATGCTTAGAAGATATGACTTTACAGCTATTAAATGTAAAATTTAGGAACCTGGCTAATATTAGCCAAGTATGGCCAGAGACATGGAAGACTAGGAGTTGTTGTACCACTTATACTAGTTTAGAATTCACCTGGCATTATATTTTTCACCCTGGCACTATTTAAGCCAATGAATGCCTAGCATGCATAAGGCCCTGGGTTTGGCCCCCAGCACTAAAAATAAATAAATATTTTTAAAAAATTACAAGTGCACAAAACAAGTCATGGTCTGAAATAACATATTAACCAAGATACTTGTTAAACACATTGGAATCATTGCAGTGGGATACGTGTGCAAAAGGAAAAAATAGGTAAATACATAAGCAAAATAAGGACAATGATAGTATCTGTCCTAAAGAGTTGCCTGGAGAGTTAAATGAGATCCTGTAAGAAATGACCTGGGACTGTGCCTTAGCTACAAAGTGAGGTGGGTGTGACTTTTGCTGAGCACCTTTGTTGATCCTTGCTCTTCTCTGCTCTTCTAGGTCTTGTTTGCCACAGAGACCTTTGCCATGGGTGTAAACATGCCAGCACGTACAGTGGTGTTTGACTCCATGCGTAAGCATGATGGCTCCACTTTCCGGGACCTGCTACCTGGGGAGTATGTACAGATGGCTGGCCGGGCAGGCCGGAGGGGCTTGGACCCCACAGGCACTGTCATCCTTCTCTGCAAGGGTCGTGTGCCTGAGATGGCAGATCTGCACCGCATGATGATGGTGAGCAGGGGTGGTGTGAGGCCAAGACAGGCAGGGCTTCAGCTCCAGGGATCTGCTGAATTCCCTTTTCCAACCTTCTGCCTGTTTCCTCCCTAAAAAGTCTACCTCACTTTGTAGCCAGGGCACAGTCCCAGGTAATTTCTTAACAAGATCTCATTTAACTCTCCAGGCAATTCTATAGGACAGGTATTATCATTTTCCTCATTTGCTTATGTAGTTACCTCTTTTTAGAGAGGAAATGGGCAGAATATTTGTTGGAGTTTTTTATTTTGCCTGGAGGAACCCAAGATGAGACTGAGAAAATCTAAGGAAGAGATTGGATTCCATCCATTCTAGTTTATTCCTGCTGTGAATACTGAGCTAGACAGGGCCTTTGAGAGTCTTTGTATTTCATTTTGTTCTTTCCTGTTATAGAAGAGGTGAGCAGGTGGTTTGTCTAAGATCCATGGTTACAGAGCTAGGACCAGATCTGAGAGGATACAGATTCCCATAGGACTGGCCAAGGAGTCCCCACCTGATCTCATTGACCTCTCTGGCTTGGCTCCAGGGGAAGCCATCCCAGCTGCAGTCCCAGTTCCGCCTCACGTACACTATGATTCTTAATCTGCTTCGGGTAGATGCCCTCAGGGTGGAGGACATGATGAAGAGGAGCTTCTCTGAGTTTCCATCCCGTAAAGACAGCAAGGTGAGGAGGCTGGGGTGACCAGTATACTGGACAGGAAGGTGGACAAGACCAGGTTGAGAAGAGGTTGTTATACAGGCCAGTTGGGCGAAGGTGGGGGGTGTGGCAAGATGGGCCTGAGGGGCTTGCTTCACAACATCCCCTTTGCCACCCAGGCCCATGAACAGGCGCTGGCTGAACTAACCAAGAGGCTGGGTGCCTTGGAGGAGCCTGATATGACTGGTCAATTGGTAGACCTACCAGAGTATTACAGCTGGGGGGAGGAACTGACAGAGACCCGGAACATGATCCAGGTAAATGCGTGCCAGTGGGGAGATGATGGGGTGAGGGAGTAAGAGATTGGGTCACCCTGGGTACTCCCGAACTTAGTCCCAGTGACACCTTCTACTATATCCCCTTGTGCATTTCCCTCTTTTTCAGCAACGCATCATAGAGTCGGTGAATGGGCTGAAATCTCTCTCCACAGGAAGAGTGGTGGTTGTGAAGAATCGGGAGCATCACAATGCACTGGGTGTGATCCTGCAGGTGAGGATGATGGGTTGGGAACTCAGAAGGTGGGAAGGAATGAGGGAACAAACTCTAGCTCCGTCTTCCCTGCTTGGCTGGGGGGCAGGTTGCTGCCACCACAATGCTTTCATTTCCCCCTTTTCCTTCCCACCAATACCTCATGTCCACCTTCCCACACAAAGAAATATGCTGGGTGGTTGGTTACCCCTCCATATTGGTAGGCTCTGCGTGGTTGCTCCCTGATCCCAGCCCAAGGGTGGGCTTCTGGTTTCTACTTTTGATGTCTATTCCTTACATTCCACTGTCCTGGGCTTTCTGCCTCCCTCAGGTCTCCTCAAACTCCACCAGCAGAATTTTCACAATCCTGGTCTTGTGTGATAAGCTTGTGTCTGAGGATCCACAGGACAAGGATCCAGACACTCCAGATGTGCCCCACCCAGATGACCTAGTAGGGTTTAAGCTGTTCCTGCCTGAAGGTGAGTGAGGCAGATGTCTGGCTTCCTGACTGGTATGTGAGCTGGATGCCTGGCTCTATGGCAAGGACTGACCTACTTTTCCTTTTTCACAGGGCCCTGTGACCATACTGTGGCCAAGCTTCAGCCAGGAGATGTGGCTGCCATCACCACCAAGGTGCTCCGGGTGAATGGTGAGAAGATCTTGGAGGACTTCAGCAAGAGGCAGCAACCAAAATTCAGGTCAGAGATGCTGGGGGGATCCTTTTCCCCAGAGGACATGAATTACCAGCTAGGGGAGTATACTTGAGAGATCCCCTCAGCCTGAGGGGGATCCCCTTGTCTAGCCTAAAGAGGTTCCTATGGCAAAGAAGTCTCTTGCCCAGATCTCAAAAACATGCTCCCTCTTTAGGAAGGATCCTCCCCTTGCAGCTGTGACCACTGCTGTCCAGGAATTGCTTCGTCTGGCTCAAGCCTACCCAGCAGGACCTCCCACCCTTGACCCTGTTAATGACCTACAGCTCAAGGATGTGTCAGTGGTAGAGGGGGGACTCCGGGCCCGGAAGCTGGAAGAGCTAATTCGGGGAGCCCAGTGTGTACACAGCCCCTGTTTTTCTGCCCAGGTAGCTCTCAAGTGGAGGGGGGACTTTTCCTTAACACCTCTGCTGAGGGGAGAGGACTGAGGGCTCCTGCCTGTGACTCTCTGCAGTATTTGAAGCTGAGGGAACGAATGCAGATTCAGAAGGAGATGGAGCGGCTGCGCTTCCTACTGTCAGATCAGTCACTGCTGCTGCTCCCTGAGTATCACCAGCGAGTAGAGGTAGGAGCGGTGGGGATGGGGTTAGGAGGCTAGTGTGGGAGAAAGTGGCAGACTCCCCATCACTAACCCTCTTTCTTGTAGGTACTCCGAACGCTGGGTTACGTGGACCAGGCAGGCACTGTGAAGTTGGCAGGGCGGGTAGCTTGTGCCATGAGCAGCCATGAATTGCTCCTCACTGAGCTCATGTTTGACAATGCACTGAGCGCCCTGCGGCCTGAGGAGATCGCAGCTCTGCTTTCTGGCCTGGTCTGCCAGAGTCCCGGGGACCCTGGGGATCAGCTTCCAAGCACCCTCAAGCAGGTAAGGGATACTACCACTCTCCCTGGACTGTGGCATTCCCAACCCCTGATCTGGTTTCCCCAGGTGACCACAAGTGCCTCTAAAAATGCACATGGCCTCTTCCTTCACTTGGGCCTCCCTGGGCCTAGAGCAGGAAGACAAGCCTTGACTTCTTCTTTCCCTTCTGCAGGGAGTAGAACGCATCCGAGCCGTGGCAAAGCGGATTGGTGAGGTCCAGGTGGCCTGCGGTCTGAACCAGACAGTGGAGGAATTTGTGGGGGAGCTGAATTTTGGACTTGTTGAGGTTGTGTACGAGTGGGCCCGGGGCATGGTGAGTACCTGGGGTTTGGGGTTTTGTGGCTGGCTGGCCGGTCAGAAGCTGTCTGGGTCTGGCATCTTCAATCTTCACTCTGTTTTCCCCACAGCCCTTCTCTGAGTTGGCAGGGCTCTCGGGGACCCCTGAAGGCCTGGTGGTCCGCTGCATCCAGCGCCTGGCTGAGATGTGTCGCTCACTTCGAGGGGCAGCCCGCCTGGTAGGGGAGCCTGTGCTGGGAGCCAAGATGGAGACAGCAGCTACCCTGTTACGAAGGGACATTGTCTTTGCAGCTAGCCTTTACACCCAGTGAATGACTCCTGGGTGGAAGTGGAATAATAAAATAGCAAACCACCACATGTGCTTGGGGTGTTGGGCAGGATGACTCAGCTCAGAAGACACAGCAGGGAGAGCCACTTAGAAAACCTTTATTATCTCTGCAGACGAATTGGCCCCTTGAAGCCTCACTCTGTTGGGGAGGGTGTCTTGGGAACTGATGGGAGGTCCTGTGTCATAGCTTCCACGTACCACATAGGCAGGAAGGCATAGGGTGCATCTCGATGTATAGACACTGTGACTGGGCCACCAGGCTCCCAGGAGAAGAGGTAGACAAGCCTGGGGGCAGACGGGAGAGTGAGTTGAGGGCCAGAGACTGAGCTCCTGGGATCCAGAGGGGGTGCACAGAGCTGAATGCCTCACCTGGAGTCATCCTGGACAACTGTGCTCTGGGCAAAGCTAAGGAAGGCAGCACAGAAGTTCATGCACACAGAGGGATTCCAGCCATCACGGTCATTCTGGAGTGGACAAAGGAGGAGGAGGCAGAAGACTAGTGGTGAGGATGGGTTGGAAGAAGGGGAAGGCAGACTGCAGCCCTGGATGTTGGACCCGTGGTCTTGGTGCATGGGGTAGGCAAATATAAGTGGGAACTGTGATGTCACTGTCTTACCCTGACGTGTTCAAACATCTCCATGGTAGGAAAGGTCTTGAGAGAACAGACGAAACCCTCTGGGTTACGGAAGCCAGCAACAACTTTTGGGACTCCTGGGAGGAATGACTGAGCCCACCATTTCAGAAGCTTGTGTCTGACAGGAAAGGCAAGGGGTCAGTGGGACCCTCTCCACCCTCTGTTCCTCCCTCACCTTTAGGCCTTATCATCCTCCCCAGTCCCCTTCCCAGTCCTTGCTCTGCCCACCCCATCCTGAACCTGTAGAAGCTCCTCCACTGTCCAGGGCTGTACATCTCCTTGGAGGTCTTGAGCTCCACATAACAGGTGGGAGGCTGTGTAGATGGGGCCTGGGGGTCTGTGCAGTCTACCTCCCCGGAAAAGAGCAGAGGGTGGTTTCCCAGGCGGCTGCGTAGCACAGAGCAGAAGGCGACGTTGGTGTTAACTTCCCCAGAGGGGTCTGGGGAGCCTCCGGGTTTGTCTGCACAAGGAGAGAAGCAGCAGCAGGGGTGGGGGCATCTCAATCTCTGGGGAAGGGGAAAGGGGCCACTGAGCAGGGGCAACTCTCACCTGCACACATATACTGCTCAAACTTGTACCCCATGTACATAAGCTCCCGGAGAAGGGGTGGCCGAGCAAGCCTCTGAGCTCGAGCAGCTGGGGTCTCCACTTCACTCAGGTACAGTGTCCCCTGGAACCTGGAGGCTGCCAACTGCCAGCCTTCTTGCCGCTCATATGGTGTTGTCAGCAACTTTGTCAAGTGTCCCCGCCATGTCACTATGGCCCCTGCCAGCCAGCCTGGACCTCTGAGAGGGAAGAGTTAAGAGAGTAAAGGTCTGACACAGCATTAGCTCAGCTCATTTCCCCAAGAATCTAAAGACTGATTCCTGTTCCAGCTTTGGCCCTCCTAACTTTAGAAGGTACATTTAAGTCTCCAGATCTATTCTTGGTTATCTCACCCCTCCAGCTGGCCTCGGTGTTCCAGGAGCCAGCGTAGCAAGTGGTCCAGCCCCTCTCGGACCTCCTCATCCCTGGGCAGGTATCGATCAGGGTATCCATCTCTCAGGTCAAATTCAGGGCCTGGACCATTGGTGGGGGGTGGGCTGTAGTAGCGGAGGGCTCGGGCATCTCCATGGTATTGGCGTTGTGCATCCAGAGAGAAGCAGCCTAATTCAGAAGGGCGCCGGTAGAAAGGAAAGGGTCCAGAGTAGAGTGCAGGCTCTGTGGGTAGTGAGGATGCAGAATAGGCAAGTTTGTTCCGAGGTTCAGCTACCTCTAACTTTTCTGCTCTTCTCTTGGTCCCTCTGGGCTCCATAAAGTCCTAAGAGGGAAAAAGAGTGGGTCAGAACCAAGTGAGCTTCCAGACTACCAGATTTTGGCCTTGAAACTTGCAGGCCCCAGCCCCTCAAAGCCAGCCCACCTCTTTCTTTGCCCTATCCCCCAGGTTCTTTAAATGCAGTGAGGTCAGGAAGGAATCTGGACTCAGATGAAATATCTGGTTACCTTAGAGTCCCCAACCTTGTCTTCCGCAAGGCTATGACGTCAGGGGGGCATATCAGAAGAAGAGCAATGCAAAATTGTTTTTTTTTTTTCCTTTGCTTCCAATGATGCAACGATCCCGCTACGGTGCCAGACAAATCCTCTGGAGGGGGTGGAGCGGGTGTGGGTAGCAGTGAGATTTACACCAGTAAATCGAGCCCAACGTGGCCACCGGTGCGGCTTAGCGCCATCCAAGTGTTCCGGGACATGAGCGCTCTCGGCCAGAGCCAATCAGCGGCAGGCATAGGGCAGCTGCCCGGCGGAAGTGGTGCTGGTATCCGCCTCTCCTAGCAAAGGGCAAGACAAGTGGGACCCTTCTTACGTCATCACGTTGTTTAAACCTGCTGGATAAGATCTCCCGAGACTCCCAGAAAGGTCTACGTCACTACTCTGCGCCGGAAGACCCTGTTTCCACTAGCTCTTCCCTCAATTTCTGCCGCTTCCCCGGTACCTTAAAGTCCGGGGATATGAGCCGGAAGAGACGCCTCTTGGCCCCGGAGACTTTTGCATTGAAGAAGCGGCGGGAGCGAGGGCCTGTAGAAGCGGATCCTTTGAGGGGTGAATCAGGTAGGCGTGGCAGCCCCGGTGCAGGGCTGTAGACCCTAACTGGGAGGGACCTCACTTCCACTAGCCAGGTGTTTGGGGGAGACCCGCACCCCCATAGTTGTCCCTCACCCCCGCTTAATTCTGTCTCAATGTCCCTGTCTCCCCAATCAGGGTCTGCGCGCGCGGCGGTCGAGGAGCTAGTGCAGTTGTTCCCGAGAGGTCTGTTCGAGGATGCGCTGCCTCCTATCGTGCTGAGGAGCCAAGTGTACAGCCTTTTGCCGGACCGGACCGTGGCGGACCGGCAACTGGTGAGGGGCGTCAAGGCCACCACCGGAGGCCCCTTCCCTGCCTTGTGGGCACTCGCGAAGGCCAGCGTCAGACAGATCCTCAGTCGGTTCACCAGCTATCCAGCAAGCATCAGGCCAAATCAAGGAGACAGAAGAGCGAAGCTTTTAGGGAAGCAGTCGTGGGGCATACATAGTACGAGCGTCCATCTCTGGGAATGCAGGCATACATCAGATCACAACAGGCCTGGTCGGTTTAGTGGTGCTATTTCAGTCTTATAACGAAGGCATTGAGCTAGTAGAGCATGTTAAACAGGAGAGAGAATGGTGTATTGGGTGTATTGGAGGTAATGCCATGCCTTTAAAGCTATTGCATCTGAGAACTGGGGAAGGCCTAACTTAGGGAAGTGTGGAAGATAGGGGGAGTGTGAGTGAGGCTTTGTGGAGAGTGATGAAGAGGGAGGAATTCATGGTAACTCCCAGGTTTTCCAGATGGTTGGTGGAGTGAATACAGGAGGAGCACACTGAGCTTTGGGGAGCATATGATGCATTTAATTTTGTACAAGTTGAGTTGGCATGTTTGCGGATCATCCAAAGTTGTTGGAGAGAATTTGGAGCCAGTAATAATAGAATTAAAAGTCATAGAGGTATGGATAGTGGGTTCAGAACATGGATGTAAGTGAGATCCAGTAGGAAAAGGGAGTGATTTTTTACAATGTTTGGAAGGTGGTGAAAGCAGTAGCTATTTCTTGCCAGAAAAATGCCTCTACAACAGACACACACATGCACACACAGTATTAGGTATGATTTGTGGGGGAGTGTTTCACAGTTCCTCTGAGATCTAAGGTTAAAGACCCCAGGTTTAGAGTGTAAGATACTAGGGCCATATCCACAATGCTGGCAACACCATTATTTAGGGCAGTGTTACTCAATGTAATACTATATGGCCTTATTTCTACCTATTCTAATTTCTGAATTAGCAGCCCAGAATCGTCTGGGTTGCTAATTCAGAAATTAGAGGTTCTGGGATTTACCCAAGGTTAATGAATTAAGATATCTTGTAGGAGTGGGATGTAGGGATGTAGGAATCTACATTTTTAAATTACTGCTTCAGGTGATTCTTAATTTGCCTTAAAAATTGAGGCCTACTAATGTAAGAGAAAAACAGAGGAAGAGAAATCTGTGAAAGAGGCTGAGAAGGAATTGCCAGTTAAGAGAAATCCAGGAAGAGGTCTAATGTGAAAGTAAAGAGGTATTCAAGGAGGTTGGAGTAGTTGGTGGTGTTAAAACCTGCAACTCAAAGAATTTTCTCTGAAGAGGTCCAGTAAAATAAAAGCTGAAATCTCTCCATTGGAGTTAGCTAGTCACAAAAAGAAAGAAGAAAAGGAGAATGGAGACTTGTACAGTCTGATGAGAAAGCAGGTCAGATGGAACTAATTCTTTAAAAAGTATTTGTGATTTTTAGCCAGATGTAGTGGTGACTCAGGAGGCTGAGGCAGGAGAATTGCAAGTTTGAGGACAGCCTTGGCAACTTAAGGAGACCTTGTCTTAAAATAAAAAATCAAAAGGACTAGGAATGTAAATCAGTGGTAGAATGCCCCTGGGTTCAATCCCTAGTACCCCCCCCCCCCCCACACACACACACACAAAGTATTGTTGTTTTTATATTTGTGTTAGCGTACATCTTTTATATTTCAAAAGAGTTTTAAAAATTACACAAAAGAAAATATAAATGTACACAGAGAATTTACAGAATGTTTATAAAGAAATACCTTGCCACCACCTAGGTCAAACTATAAAACATGGCCAATATTGTACATATCTTTCTCTGATCAAAATTCTTTACATCCTTGGGAGTTGGGAGTTGACCACCATTCAAACTGCTATAATTGTTACCTTGGTGTTCTTTATATCACCTGTGTACATATTCGTAAATAACTAGCTTAATTTCCATCCCGCCCCCTTGTTTCGCTCCTAGGGATTGAACCCAGGGGCCAATTTGAGGCCAGCTTCAGCCACTAAACAAGACCCTATCTCAAAATAAAAAATGACAAATGACTGTGGTAAAGTAACCTGAGTTCAATCCCTAATACCAACACAAAAGTAAATAAGTAAATAAACAAATAAGTAAAAGTGGATAGTCTTATTTTTACATAGAGTAGTTTATGCATTGATAGGATACAATATGACTTATTTGATCCATGTATACAGTATGTAACCATCATATTAGATAATGATCATTTTCTTTTTCATTTATAATTTTGTGTTGAAAACTTTCCAGTTCTTCTTTTCTAGTTCTTTATAAAATTGTTTTCTGTATTATAGTTATCCTACCATGCTATAGAACAGTTATTCTGTTTACCTAACTGTATTTTGATAGCCATTATAAAAGATTGTCTTTTTGATAATTCCACTATAAAAGTCTTGGTATGTTTCATTTGTTTCTTTTTTTTTTTTGTTTCCTGTGGGCCCAGTTATTTTTGGCCATGTGTCGGACAGATTTGATTAGATTAGCAAATGCTCTCCATGTCCCACTCCCACTGTGAGTTCTTGTTTCTGCTTAAATATTATATTAGGTCTGGTAATTTTTGTTATCTTTTGATCTCTTTAATGTTTAAACAATTTTAAAATAATATTTAGTATTTTAGTTAATTTCCAAGTAGGTGTTTGGTTCTTGCTATATTCCTATAGACAGGAATTCTAGTTTATTTTTATTCTGTTGTTGTTATTATCTTCAGTACTGGGAATTGAATTCAGAAAAACTCTACCACTGTGCTGAATCCCCTGTCCAGCTCTTTTTAATTTTTTTTAATAGCTTTTTTATTTATTTATTTTTTTTTTAATGTGGTGCTGAGGATTGAACACAGTGCCTCATCGTGCTAGGCAAGTGCTCTACCTTAGCCACAACCCCAACTCTATTTTAAAATTTTGAGACAGGGTCTTGCTAAGTTGCCCAAGCTGGCCTCAAACTTGTGTTCCTTCTGACTCAGCCTCTGGAGGAGCTGGGACTACAGGCATGTACCACTGCACCTGGCTATTTTTACTTGTTTTAAACATTTTATCCAATACTTCTCCCCACCTTCTGCCATCTGATATCTAGACTGTGGATTTCTTGAGGGAAGGGCCTCTGTCTTAATCACTGTTTTATCTCACTGCTTGGCGTAGAACTGGTCTTAGAAAATATATTTTTTTTCACAGACAACTGATAAGTCAGGTGACTGGGAAGGTGGGTAACTAGTTGAAAAAGGCTGCTTGGTGTACCACCTGATTATATCCCCACACATTAAAATTCCCCAATTCTGGCAAACAAAGACTCCCTGCCCCATTGTGCCCAGAGTATAACAACATCTTACCCTGAAATCCTTCTTTTCATTTCTATCTCTGTGGAGACAGAAGGAACTTCAAGAGCAGGGAGAAATCAGAATCATCCAGCTGGGCTTTGACTTGGATGCCCATGGAATTGTCTTCACTGAAGACTACAGGACCAGAGTATGTGTAGCTGTGTATGTGTGTGTCATGAGCAGGGGAGGGTGAGGAAATTGAGGAATGAAAAAATGATTTCCCTTATCCCATGTCCCATCAAGAGGGTTAGGGCTCTGGTAAGTGGTAAAATGAGGGAGAGGGAGTAGAGAAGTAGAGGAGGAGGAGGGGAAGGAGGAGGAGTGGAGGAAGGTCTTGAGTAAGAGGGAAATCAGGAAGAGAAATGCTGTCCTGGGAATGGAGATGGGTGGAGGGTAGGACTAGCCCATATCTCTCACCTTTGGTTCTAGGTCCTCAAGGCCTGTGATGGCCGACCGTACGCTGGGGCAGTACAGAAATTTCTGGCCTCCGTGCTTCCAGCCTGTGGGGACCTTAGTTTTCAGCAGGAACAAATGACACAGACCTTTGGCTTCAGGGATCCAGAGATCACGTGAGATTTGTAGGACCAACAGTCAAGCATCTGGTACCTCCCTGCCTTCTTCCAGTCCCATCCAAAATATCTTTTTCTTCCTAGTAAACCTGCCAAAAAAGGCTGACTCTTTTATGTAATAAAATGATCTAAGTTTGTGTTCTTTCTTTCAAGAGAGGAGGCCTATCTTAACTTGGGGCTTTCGAAAGAACTCCAGACCAGAATTCAGGAGAGCTGAGTGACTTGACAAATACATGAGGGGGTTGGCAGAAACTATAGCTTTCTGATTTTATTCATGCTGGATCTAAGAGGATAGAGAATGGTATTAAATAACAGGAAAAGAATGGGCAGAAGGCAGTTCAGTATGGACAGTGGATTAAGCAAGGGCACAAAAACCTTAAATAGCATGCATGGTCCGAGCAGACACCTGCGCCAGGTTGGGTTTTCTTATCTGGTCCCTGTTGCATGGTTCCCCATGTTTCTGGAAACTTGGTGCCCAAACATAAATAGATGGGGAGGACATATGGTTCTCAGAGTCCAGGCTGTGTCTCTTCTGACTTCCCCCGGCTGTAGGCACCTGGTAAAGGCCGGAGTCTTCACTGTCCGTGATGCTGGGAGCTGGTGGCTAGCTGTACCTGGAGCTGGGAGATTCATCAAGTACTTTGTTAAAGGTAACTTGTCTGCAACCAAGCCCTCAACCTCTCAAGAACATCCTTTGGTGGCTCCTCAGGCCTCTAGGCTTTATTCACCTTTTCTCTTTCCTGTACCACCTCTTCTCCAGGGCGCCAGGCAGTCCTTGGCATGGTCCGGAAGGCCAAGTACCGGGAGCTTCTCCTGTCGGAGCTCTTGGGTCGGCGGGCACCTGCCACAGTGCAACTTGGCCTTGCCTACCATGTACATGACCTCATTGGAGCCCAGCTGGTCGATTGGTGAGTCTTGCCCCTGGCCTGGGAGATGAAAGAGCAATGACCCAAGGTTGGATTTCTTCCCAACACAAGCTTAATTCACTATTGAAGCCCAGTTTCTCTCATTTTTCTCTGGGACCCAGGAACACCCCTTACCAAGTTGAGTTCTTCTCATACCTTGGGCCTACACTGTTGGCTTTAGTCTTATCTTTCTCCTGTATAGTGTCTCCACCACTTCTGGAACCATCCTTCGCCTGCCAGAAACGTGAGGATTCTGCTTGTCATTGCACATCTCCCAGAGTGGGGTGAGGGTCCTGGGGATCCTGCCCAACAATGACTGATCCAGGGTCACCTTGGGAAGGCCTGGAAGCCAGGAATGCTGCCGTGTATGCTGCTGAGGTTCAAGCTTGGGTTCTTTCTTGTGGTAGGCTCTAGGCAATATTTATCTGCCCTTCCACGAATCTGGAGCCAGAAACTGTGCCAAGGCCACCATGGCCACTGCCTATCAGGAAAGAAGGTGCTATTGTTCTATGTTGGGACAGGAAGGTGGGATTGCTGGGGAGGCTGGGGAAAGAGGGGTCTTGTACCCTATGTGTTGGATTGAAACTGCTAAATAAAATACTCTGCTTTCTGATATTTTCTGGATGTCCTTTATTTTGTGTGACGTGATTGGGTGTCTTATTTTGGGGTAGAGATAGGTAAAGCCAACCTTAGTTCTGAGCTTTTCTCCATTGCTCAGAGAGAACAAGGGTTAATTCTGTATTCAGGCCAGTTCTCCCTGTAGGGTGGTGAGGTTGCACCCCATTTCTTAAACCACAGGCTTTCGGTTAGGGCCTACAGAATGCGAAAGGCTATAGAGGTTCAGTTTGTGTCAGGGTAAAAGTAAGAGGCAAGGGTCTTAGAAGCCCATCCTTGTTTTGTTAGGTGTGTACATCTAGGCCACATGAGCACAATTAAATGTGTACACACACAGGTATACCCAGTTAGAGGGCAGTGCCCAGGCACCAGGATGAGGAGGGTTAATAGGGAAGGCAAGATCCATCTCTAGGCCAAGATTTCTCCAGATTTCCTCAGACCCTGGTGTCCTGGCTGCCCCGAGTCCCCAACCCCCAACACCTGGGCCTGGGGCCAGTTGCATTTCTTGACTGTCACGTGGTTTCCCGGCTTAGCTGGGGTAAGGGAGGAGCAACATCCAGAGTCAACTCTGCCCTGAACCCTAAGTTGACCAGAAGGGAACAGACAGACAGACAGACCTGACTCCTCTTGGATTCTCCAGCCATGAGGCTCCTCTGGGGGCTGATCTGGGCGTCCAGCTTCTTTGTCTTGTCTCTGCAGAAGCCCAGGTACTAAAGGCAATCAATATGCTGGGTGATTGGGTGGAGGCAGGGCTGGTGATAGAACCCAACTCGGGAGTGAGGGAGAGCTGGTGTGGAAGGGTCAGGGTCAAGTCTGTGACACCCCTCTCCTCAGGTTGCTTCTGTTCTCGCCTTCTGTGGTTCATCTGGGGGTCCCCCTATCAGTGGGGGTGCAGCTCCAGGATGCCCCCCGGGGACAGGTAGTGAAAGGATCACTTTTCCTGAGAAACCCAAGCCGAAATAATCACCGCTGCTCCCCAAAGGAGGACTTTACCCTCAGCTCAGAAAAAGACTTTGTGCTCCTCAGTCTCCAGGTAACTGGCTCCCATCCTCTGCTGCTGTTTCTGGGGGCCTCCCCAATGTTCCCCTCTATAATCTTGCCAATGACTGGCTTCTTCACTGGCTTTCCTTCCTCTCTTCCCACCTCAGTGGTCTCCTTCCTGTTGCTGTGTTGCTCTCTCTGATATTTTTCTTCTGTGTCTGTCTCTGACCTGCTCCTTCTCCTTCTTCTGACAGATCCCCCTGAATGATGCAAAGAGTTGTGGCCTCTTTGAACTACGTAGAAGCCCTGAGGTCCAGCTAGTGGCCCAGTCATCATGGCTGAAGGACTCCCTGTCTAGAACAACAGATATTCAGGGTGTTAACCTGCTCTTCTCCTCTCGTCGGGGACACCTTTTTTTGCAGACTGACCAGCCCATTTACAACCCTGGCCAACGGGGTAAGCACAGGCCTCAGGCCCTCTACTTTAACTCCCTCCCAACCCACTCAGGACATGTTTGGTTCTCCTTAATGTGAGGTAACCTGAAAGAAAGCGCCATTGGGCCTTTCCCTCCCTTTGGGCCTACCCTCCCTTTGCACACGGACTCCTGCTCATCTCTCATTCTGCATTCCCAGTTCGGTACCGGGTCTTGTCACTGGATCAAAAGATGCGCCCATCCACTGACACCCTCACGATCATGGTTGAGGTGAGTCCCCTGACTGGCCTTCTGACCCTGGCTGCCGCTGTGACTTCCCACATGAGACCACTTCTATTCCCCTTGTAGAATTCTTTTGGCCTCCGTGTGCTCAAGAAGGAGGTCCGCGTTCCTTCACCCATCTTCCAGGATGACTTCACGATTCCAGACATCTCAGAGTGAGCTACCCCCACCTGGGAGTTATCCCTGTCTACACCACTCCAATTCCCATTTCCTTTTGGGCTGTCCACCTTCAACATGGTCACATCCCAGATGCCCTGGCCCTGGGCCTCCTGAGCCTCTGGTTTATCCCCTTAGACCTACTCCTAGGGAACCAGGCTGCTGGCTCTCTGTGGTTCTCCTGCATAGGTGAGTTGAGTCCCTTCCTTGTCCATCCTCAGACCAGGGACCTGGAAGATCTCAGCCCGATTCTCAGACAGTCTGGAATCCAACAGAAGCACCCTGTTTGAGGTGAAGAAATATGGTGAGTGCTGGAGATATGAAGGACAGGTAGCTTCTTTCATGAAGGAAAAAAGGGGTAGAAGGAGAGATGGTGGGACAGGGCAGGACCAGGGAGGTATGGGCACTACAGACCAGAGGGGAGGGGGTCTTAGAAGGGTACTTTCACTAGGGTATGACCTGCTTACCCCTTTGTTCTGGGTCAGTCCTTCCCAACTTTGAGGTGAAGATCACCCCTGGAAAGCCCTACATCCTGACTGCACCTGGCTATCTTGGCGAAATTGAATTAGACATCCAGGCCAGGTAACAGCTCCTGCTCCTGCCAGGTCCTGTTCCCATGCAGAATGAACAGGGTATAGAGCCCCGCTTCCTTCCTTCCCAGATTATTATTTCTACCAGGCCTCAGCCTCCCTTCTTCCTCTTCTCCCTTTGGTAATAGGTACATCTATGGGAAGCCAGTGCAGGGGGTAGCATATGTGCGCTTTGCCCTCCAGGATGAGGATGGTAAGAAGACTTTCCTCCGGGGGCTGGAGACTCAGAACAAGGTAGGAAAGAGGTGGGGAGAGGTGGGGAGCAGAGAAGTGGAGAACTCCAGTCTCACCCCATGTCCTGTTTTCCTACTCCATGCCCTAGTTGGTGGAAGGCCAGAGTCACATTTCCCTCTCAAAGGATAAGGTCCAGGGTACCCTGGAGAAGCTTAATATTGGTATTGCTGACCTCCAAGGACTGCGTCTGTATGTTGCAGCAGCCATCATTGAGTCTCCAGGTAGGTGACTCCCCAGTAAAATCTAGCCCCTTGTCTCTTACCTCTGAGCTGAC